CACAGCCTGAACGAAAGAAAGAAAGCAAGAAAGAGCACACTTTTCCCGGGAACGTGGATGTCGCCTCCTGAGTCCGACCTGACTGCACCACGCTGCGTGCGGCTTGGGGGTGTCTCCCGGGGGTGTCGTGGGGCACCCTATAGCCGTTAGAAGAAGAAGAAGAGAGAGAGAGAGGAGATCAATTGGAAGGGCTTAGAAGAGGTTTAACAACTTGTTACAGAACTATTGCCTCCTGGTTGCACATGGGTCTTCAGCCCTGAGCTTCATCCAACACTTCCCGTGACAAATTTGGCCGCAGGGGAGCTTGATTGGCAGACCTCTGCTCTTTGCAGCATGGTGGTAGCTTTACCCTCTTTACCTTACCTATCTTGGGCGTGAGAGATGCTTAGAAGCGCTAGCGGTGGCAAAGGTTTGTTTGGCCCCGCTGGAGGATTCGCACCCACTTCATGGCATCTTTGCTGGAGGAACAACTACACGACCTGCTCCTAAAGGAAGAGAAGCATGCTGCCAGGCTTTCGAAAAGAAACTTGCAAAGAGCGAGAGGGCGAATTCAATGAAGTCAGCAGCAAATGGACGGAACTGGATGCTGGGAACAAAAACCCGGTCCGGGAGAGGCGGGCAGGCACACTGGGGGAGGACATCTTCGCTCATGCTTGAGAGGAAAGCGACAAAGATGCTAAGTGAAGAAGACTTCTCGAATGGCCACGCTGACATGGGCCGGCGCAAGGTCACAAAAAAGACGTTGCGTGCAAAGTGCACAGAGGGACACCACATCGCAGAATGGGCTTGAGAATGCTTGCTGAGATCAACTTGCCCTCAGGTGGGGACATCAGGGACTCGGGCGGTACCTGGTGCACGCATCTCAGCCCAACATGTCACGAGCTTTCGAAGGGCTCCTGCAGATGAGGTATGAGTTTCTTTCTGGTGGGGACGTCTTTCAGAGGCCTGAAGGAAGCATTTCAGCAGAGGGCAGCTCATAAGCCTTCAGTTGCGCTGCAGGCTACACCAATGCCATTGCGGTCAACGCAGCTTCCCCTGGCATGAGAGGCTGCATCTTCTAGTATGACAGCTCTGTCAGCGCTCTTGTGTGGTGCTTTTTGGAGGCTAAGCGTTCTTCTGGATGCTGCGAGCGGCTTGTCGCACATGCACAATGCCACGCCCAAGGCCAGCTGACACATGTCAGCAGTGAAGGTGAAAAGGCAGCCTAAGAAATGCGTCCACGTTTGCAAAGATGCAGGCATTCCACCGAGACATCAAGTCAGCCTTGCGCCTGCAATCGAGTCATTTGGGGTTCTGGGGCCACAATGAACTGGTGTGATTTGCCTTTACGAACGCGCAATAATCGAGACACAGAAGAGGTCAGAAACTAAGCAAATCTAATCTAATCAATATCTGGAGTCTAGTCTACACACTCGAGGGAGGTTCTCGTATGAACCATGCAGGATGCACCACGCATGGCCAGCAGTCGTGCGTTACAGAACATAGCAATTCCTTGAGGGATGCTGCACTGCAAAATAGAGCTCTTGTCTTCATATTCTCCGATTCAAAGTCCCCGGCTGAGACGGCAAGCTGGCAAACGGTCACATGAGTCCACCCAACTCCTGAACAAGAGGCAGTAGAGACAGTATCCTGGTGAGGGAGTATCTCAAAACTTTTCATTCACATCGACAACCAAACTTTCTCAACACCGGCCACATGCATGGCAGCTCGAGCCGGGAGCTTGCGGAAGCAACTGGCTAGAGGATTTGCTCAGAGATGCGGCGAGCCACCATTGAATGCAACCAAAGTGGCCAGCTTCCGGCAACAGGAGGTTGGCATTGACAGCTTCTTTGGCGAGCATCCTGGATTCACTGCAAAGTTCCAGAGGCATTCATATGACTTTGTCGTACGCGAGCTTGATGCTAACAACATTCCCGTGAAAATGGAAAAGCCATGCACTCCTCACGAGCTGTTCACCATGTCGCAGAGCACTGCCCCCTCGGAACACATGTGGTTTACAGTAGCCAAGCAGAAGCAGACGACCCCTGAGGCCATTTCAAAACTAGCCCAGATCTTCCAAGCACCAACAAAATCCTTCAGCTTCTGTGGAATGAAGGACCGTTGGGGGATAACAACACAACAGATCAGCTTTCCATGCGGAGCTCTTCTGGAGCCGTGCGACCAGCTCAGCAGCCTTGCGCTGGCAGATGCATCTCCACAGCACTTCAAAGCCAGGTTAGGTGGACACGGTGGGAATGAATTTGTTGTTGTACTCCGCCATGTCAACTTAGAGGAAGAGGCAGATGCGATTGAAACCAGCCTTGCGGCATGGGAGAGGGGCTTCCCCAATTATTTTGGTATGCAACGGTTCGGAACCGGGACCCTCCCAACATCGCAGATGGGTCTGGCACTGCTCCAGGGAAACTTCCAGCATTTGGTGCAGCTGCTGCTGGGTTCCCGAGCGCGTCGCGGCACAACTCTCCAAGCATATCTGGAAGCCAGTCAAGGCAACTTTTCTGCAGCCTTGGCATTGATGCCAGCCTCTTGCGCGTTGGAGACGACAGATCCTCCGCAGCAGCATATTTTACTTTAGTTTGTGCGAATTCGTTTTTGGAATTGGGTTTGCATGTGTACACGTGTCGTGGCTCACGCACAAAGATGTGCAGGTCCTTCAACATCTATGTGCAAATCCTGGTGACTTTGAGGGGGCCATCAAGCGCGTACCACGTCACATACGCCTACTTTGGTGTCGTGCCCTGTCGTCCCACATTTGGAACAAAGTCGTTTCCCTTCGCTTGCAGCAGAACATGGGAGTTCTAAAAAGGGACTTGGTGGCATGCCCTGGGAACCGTGAAGCCTTCCACCAGGTGCAAGCTCGAGTGCTGGAAGACGGCGAAGAAACTTCGACACCTTTGTCGCAGGTGCTTGTACCTGTCCTTGGCTTTGCCGTTGAAATGCCTGACAATGAGTCACGAGATTTGCACCACTCCGTCCTGCAACAGATGGGGCTGGACCTGGCTGTGTTCGCGCAGCCTGACTCCAAGGATGGATTTTACATGCCTGGTGGTTATCGCCCGCTCCTCTGCCAACCAACCCACCTAAACCACACAATGCTGGCCTATCCGCGCCAAGTTGTTGGAAATCGTGAGGCCCGCCTGATTTCCACCGATTTAGACCATGTGCTGGATGAGCCGCTTGCCACCAACACTCGGCCCTTGTCCATGTCCATGCGACCGGACTTGCAAGAGGAAGTTGCCGCTTTGGTGCTGGAGTTCCGGCTGCCTCGGGCAAGTTATGCCACCATGGCCATTCGAGAGTTGATGCAAAAATGCAACATGGTTATGTTTCTTCTTTAGGGTCGTCTGATCTGCCTTGACGTATAAATTGCACCGAGGCCAACATCCTTCTAGACAGACATGGCACTGCTAAGCTGGCGGATTTTGGCCCGGATCTTGGTTGCGGCTTGAGACTGGAGGGGCCATTGCCGCTGACATGGTCTTTGCAGGGATCAATGGAGATAGCATGCAGGCTGGATAAGCAGAAACAGCCAAATCATGCGCGTGACTACACGCCACATCGGATTTGTAGGTACATTAGTTGAAGATCTCATTCCCCGTTGCCATGGGTTTGCGTGCCTGGGATGGCTGCGAATCGAGAAGTTCTCCGTGTCCGACCCTGAGACCGTGCAATAAACAGTCGCTTGGATTACGGACATCACAGACCTGGGTCGCAGCCACCACCTTGCTCAAGGCGCGGATGGCCGAACTGCTACGGCCGCGCGTGGGACGCAAGGTGCTTTGTTGTCCTTGCTGATGGCAAAGCCAGGTAACTTCCTGTTCGGCGTTTGTACCTCCCTGCCAAAAACTGGAAGAGGGAGACACAGCGCCTCAATAAATGACCGAAAGATATGAGAGATTAGGAAAGAGCATATATATATATATACTACTGTACTCGATTGCTTGACTCTCTGGCACCATAGAGCTCTTGTGCTTGCCAAGTAGCATGAGTCCTTTCAGGTGCCTTGTTCCGAAAAGCAGAGGAGAGAACGCATGCCACGCAAGCTGTCCATTGGGGAGTCTAAGTCTACTGCCTATGCCTAGATTACCTTCGCGAAGGCCTATTGGCACCGCAGAGTTTTTAATTCACCGGGTCCGGCTAGCCCACGTGTTTGAAATCTCATTCCAGTCTTCGCGTAGCAGTTGCTACAGGTGGAAGAGCCATCATCGTCGGAGATGGTTTCCGAGCTTTGGACGAAAGTGTTTGTCTATTTGGGCACCTCAGCCAGATCAGATGAACAGCAGACTCGCAGTTCTGAAAAAGTAGTCGATGGTTTTTCACAGGCAATTGGGATTTACAGTGAGCTTTACCGCAGATCTCCGGAGCCGTGGTGCTCTGGCGCCTGCTGCACAGCGCATTTCGCCGGCCCCGCTGACTGAGCTGAAGCTCTTCCAGGCTCCTTATGTTCAAATGAGGATGCTTTCGTCGTGAAGAAAGCTCTACGCTGTATCTCACCACTAGGCAAGGATCGTGCAAGCGCTGCTCGAGTGTTCTGCGCGGCAGCATCTCAAAGCTTTGGACGTCCGCATGGAAGGTGCGGGGAAAGGGAACACTGGCATAGCTTTGCAGATCTTTGCAGATCTTTGCAGAATTTTGCAGATGCTCGGGCGCAGTTGCGGCTGTCAATAGCTGATAGGGTGCATGTCTCAGGCTGACACTTCAAGCACAAGCGAATTCAACCAATGAACCGAAACAATACTCTTCGCTGCCTGGGCCATGCTTTTGCCACAGCTAGTTGAGCAGCTTCCACAGGCCTGGCACGTGTCACATTGGCGCATGTTCCTCTGCTGCAGAAGCTCACCATAGCCGCTTCCTGGCAGCATGGCAGCTTATGACTGGTTGGATGCTTGCGATCTGCATGTGACTGGCTCGCAGGCCCATTTATAGCAGATACCGATACCTAGAAAAAAGGCGCCCCGCGCAAAAATGACGAACATGGCTGTCTTGGTCCCATTTGCATGGGTTGTTTTCAGTGTTGGCGTTGCGGGGAGCAAGTGGAAAGATTGCAGAGAAGATTGGGCCGGATGCTGCAAACTAGACGCAAAGTACATCGGAGCAAAGCCGTTGGTGAGCTTCACAAATGTCACAGAGCTGAACTCACACGGGCAAGCAGATGTTGTTCACACCTCTGATCCCTTCTTCACCATTGAGATTTGGGGACAATCGATGGCCACAGAGACTATCTCCAACATCACAGTGCAGGTTCGTGGCTACTGGCAGGTGTGGAGCGGGGGCCCTTGGCTTCGCTATGTGAATGTTCGCAAAGACCTGTGTAGTGATGGAGATCTGATTGTCAAGAAGGGCTTCTGCCCTCTCACTCCTGGTGCCTCGATTGACAAGAAGATCAAGCACCACCAGCTTAGCAGATTTACACCTGCCGGCACTTATAAATCGATCGAGACTTGGTGGGCCGGTGAAACCCCAATAGCTTGCGTAGATACTGGCGAATGGCAGCTGATCCACGACGGCTTCAGCCTGAGTAAGCTGGTGGTCTGAACAAAGCTTGTCGACGCTCATACTTATAGCACGAGCCAGTGCAGCTCAGCGAGAGCATGCTCATGTCGGCAACAAAAGCACAGCCTTGGAGCTTTCTAGCAAGCAACCAGGGAACGGATCACATGTATTTTCTGCAAGAAACATGCAGGAACTGGCGCAGGTTTCCACTCTCGAATTGCCCGCTAAGTAAAGGGCGATGCTTCTTTGACATTTTTTGTCTGCGTTCCTGTCAATCTGCATTTGCCGTTGCACCTGTTTTTTCTTGAGTTGCGAGGGGTCGTGGGAATCCGATACCTTCCAGCCAAAGGTCGATGGCCAGCAGATGGCTTCACATGGCTACCCAGCCCGGGCAGAGAGTGCAGAAACAAAACATGAACACTCGAGAAATCCTCTCCTTCTTCATCTTCATCTGGCCATCCTAGACTATCCTAGTGCTGCTAGGCGGTGCCAAAGAAGAGAGCCTGCGGCGCAGAATCCGTAGGAGATGCCTGTCACAAGCTCTGTCTCAAGTTGCCGGGGTACAGGAAGCGCCTGCTCTGTCAAATGCGGCGCTTGCCTTTGACAGTAGCCTTGGGATGTATCCGAGGCATAACGCGTCCCAAAGGGCCTACAGATATGCGATGGACCAGAGTTGGCGCCACGCATCGGTGCTTGTCCTCTAACCCACAGCTCAAAGAAGCCATTCAGGAGATGCTGAGGCCTGGGCGGGTACACGACATCGTGAACCCTAGACTTGTGCCAACAGACGGAACTTCGCCTTCCTGGGTTTCCGATCCAGGGCGCCTTCTGCCTGACCTAGACCGCTCCCAACTGAATGAGCTCTGTGAGAAGCTGCAGAGCACCTGGAAAGCTGAGGCCGTAGTGGTTGTCCTAGATTCGCTGGCAGCAGATGTAAATCCAACAGGTTTTGCAGCAGCCTTGCTGAATTTTTGGGGCGTCGGCGACCGGCGGCTGCACACGGGATTACTGATACTGCTGCTGACAGGGCAGAGGCGGTTGGAAATGCGGACAGGGTATGGCCTGGCTCGAATCCTGCCATCAGACGTGCTCCAGTCAATGCAGCGCGAAACAATGATGCCGCACTTGGCTGCTGGAAAGCCGGGGCAAGCATTGTGCGAAGGCCTTCGAGCAGCCTTGCAAGCGATGGAAGCGGCGCCGCAGCATTGGCGCCAGACTGGTAGCACTGAGCAGAACTCCCACGGATTCGGTGGTGGCCAGACACCCATCGATGAGTTCTTGCCCAAGGACAAGACGGCGCCAAAGTGAGCCGGCTTCCAGTGCTTCCACAGCCAGAGACACGTGTCAAACAGCAGTCCCTGCGTGTGAGTAGATGCCTACTGCCAAGACACCAGTTGGCGATCTGTGCTGACAATCAACGTGCGACAGCTGAATGGTGTTGGCCGTGCTCGTGATACTTGTGGTGCAGCGCGCATTCAGCATAGAAGTGAGGCAAAACGTGCTGCTGATGCATGCGCGGTGAAATGTTGTGGAGAGATTCTCAAATCCGCTGAGGCTGCTGGCATGGAGCACTTTTTTGCTGACTGTCCTTTGCTGACCAGCTTCGAATTTGACTGGGAGGCAGGTCAGCTTTCCAGAGTGTTCCATCAACACGCTTGAGAAAAGCCTAGCCATAAACAGGTACCCGAAGAGCTCCGGACGTTCGAGCTTCGTACAGGGCAAGGGCTAAAACTCCTACCGCGGCCAGAGGGGCTTCTCCTGTCAAACTTCCGATTGCAAGCGCCAGGAGACCGGGGCCTGCCTAGCCAATCCTAGCCGGTCCTAGCCACCTTGTTTCCAGATGGTTCAAGTCTCTGCTCGGCTCGCGTGTTCGCGTGAGCATCGCATGCCGCAGGCCTGCAGTGCCTGGACCTCTCCGAGCTGCGACTTGCAGATCTTCTGCTCAGCCTCCATCAGGACGTTCAGATCATTTGGCCGGGGCGCGTGGCAGCACGCGCGCTTCGCAGGCTTGACTTAGTGGCTCGGCAAGTCTGAGACTGAGACTCTGCGCACATGAGGTTTCTAAACAAAGTTTTTCATCCAAGGACATTCTGGGGGCGCCCTCCAGTGAGGCTCGGCTCTGGCAAGACACTCAAAGTCTCAGCCTTCTACTGGTACCACTCTGGCCGACAGGGGGGCACTATGCAGCTGCAGACTGTGGACCTGCGCAATTTCGTCAAAGTGCAGACGCTTTCTGTGCGTGCAGGCGGGCCTCGGAATTTCAACATGAAGAGATGCATTGAGCAGATAAAGCGCTTGCAAATGCGGATCCACGGGTTGCACTAAAGCTTAGAAAGCCGTCGCAGCTCAAGCCCACAGTCCCAAGCTTTATCACCGTCGACCGCTCCAGAAGATGGCCCGCGCTCGCAGCTCCATCCTCCTTGTTGCGGCTGGCTGCGCCATGCTGCTTGCCTCGCAGGCCTTCGTCCCCTCCCCAGCCCCCAGGGCTGCGCAGATGGAGGTCGATGCTCGCGTGCTGGGTGCCACCTTTGCCGGGCTGGCGCCGCTTGCCGTCGAGCAGCCTGCGAATGCCTACGACAGCGTGGTGGCCATGCTGCAAAGCTGGTTGGTGGGTGGCATTTCGCTTGTCCTGATCTACGGAGCTGCTCTGGTGGCTGCTGTTGCGAATCCGCTGACCAAGAGGCGCTTGGAGGTCCGTGACCAGGTGGAAGCCATGAAGAGGTAGACGGCAGCAACGGGAATGATGGGCTTGAGCAATTTTTTCGAGCAGCAACTATCCAATAGGAAGAGGCTGCACGAGCGCTCAGATGCACGTGGGCGCAAAATGCTTGATCCTTGGGGAAGCATTCGCTGCTCGTGCAAGTCAGCTTCCATGCTGTGCTTTGTCAAGCCGGCAAAGACCTGATGCAGTGATAGTCGCGTAACCTATTCAAGAACATTGCATATATGCCGGCACCCAATAGTTTTTTAGCGGAGGTGACACACTAGATCCAAGCAAAGGACGGCCTGTGTTCTAAGCTGCGTCGGTGCGGCATCCTTGACTTTAAACTCACAGG